GGCACTTTCTCTGATTGTGATAATGTGGTATCAGAGCGCTTTTTGTAGTACGTTACTGTTTAGAAAGGAAATACTTTCTTTGGGGTTTCTCAGGAGTGCAGAGTAGTCTACAGCCATTACCATTTTTTGAGATCCCCGTATATTATGAAGTGAAGGAACACAAAAGAGAAATGCACAAAATTTTATTATTTATTTTATTATCATAGATAAATCAACACAAAAATGTAATGGATTAGCATCATACTATGGAGAAAATATTTATAGAATTTATAATGTTCTGTAGAGCTCTTGGCCCCAAAATGGCATATAAATATAAAGTTCTATTTTGGGTGGCTTCTTTGAAGCCTGTCCGTGAATTTCTGTGAATTCACGCACTTCATTTGAAGATAATGTCAACAGTCTACATATAAGGCATTTCCTTAATTTTTCTAAACTCTGGATACTGGAAATAATGGCTCTCCTGGCTCATTTGTGATAAAGTCTTGGTTTCTCTTGATTAGCAAATATTGCAGCTTCTGGAGCACAGACATTGGGCCTTTTACATAGAACAACATCTGGCAAATAGTAGGGGCTCAATAAAAACATGCTGAATTTCTCACTTATTTCTGAATTCTGCAATCATCTTCAAGGTGGGTATTATCTAACAAGAATATTCTTTTCTGCAAAAATCTTTGTTGCTCTCTCTTTCTCTCTTCCTGGAGGCAGGAAAATTGGTTGAAAGGCTATTGTAATATTTGGATGACACATAATTATGGCTAAATCATCATGGGTCGTGTTTATAGAAGTATTGAGGAGTGGTTGAATTTTGGATATGTTTTGAAGGATTTGTGATTGAATTAATGTGAAAGAAATAGAAAAGTCATATATATTTCCAGTTTCTTTTGCTGTTAACAACACAGTTTGCATTTACTATGATGGGAATGACTTCAGAAATCGAATGTTGAGGGTAGAGTGTGTATGTGTGTGGTGGAGATCTAGAATCTATTTCAGCATTTACTTCAAGTGGCGTATTGAACATTCAAGTGGAGATGACTAGTGTGAAGTGGTCAGACTTAAATAAACATATATAGTCCCAAACATTCCCTCTCCCCAGTTAGAAGATAAGTGACTTGCTGAAAAATAAACCAATCAAGGACCCGATCGTAAACATGAAAACTCCAGAGACTTTTTTTTTTTCCTTTTTTCCCCCTCTGTTTGACTGATTGATTGCTGCACCTTCTAGAATGGGACAGAGACTTTTTTCTCAGAAGAGAATTGGGATATAGTATCACATGACACTGGTAGAAGAAAATAAATTGAGGGAAAAAAAAGAAGAAAATTGGGATGATATCCTTTGTTCACAGTTGGTCAGTGGTTTCCTATTGCCCACTGAAAAATAAAATCTAAGTGGTTGCCTTGTATACTCACCGCCTTATGACTGATTCTTTCCCTTATTGTTCTGCCATAACTCCAGACCAATTTTAGGTAATGTAAGACCTAAAATTTCAAGTACTGCCTTGAGATATTTGACCCTGCCAAGGCTCCCCAAAAGGCCTATCCACAAGTTTCCCTGCCTTGATAGATATGACTCCCACAAGCAGGAAAGACTCCCCTCTTGGCCAGTTCCCTTATCTGCCAGACCAGCTGCCCTACTCAGGCCTTCACCTAATGGGTTTCAGCTCACTGCCAGTCCTCCGAACTGTTAAAACAAGCCAACTCATTCTCAGGGGAGAACCAGGAGTCACACCCTCTAATGACTACAAAGCCCACCTCTTACAGCCCCTACTGATTCATTCTGCTCCTGAGTGCAACCCTTCTATGGCTTTGCACAGTATGTAGTGCCCTCTTCTTCCAGGCTGTGAGTATATGTGACTAATAAATTTCTGCCAATATTGTTTATCCAGTGTTGGTGTTCAGCCTTCTTACTATTTAAGGCAGGAGAATTTATTGGCTATCAACAGGTGCATAGGAGGTGATAGAACACAGTCACTTTTCTCTCTAAATCCCTCTCCCTCACATACCTCACCTCCATACTTTCAATGAAGTATAATTTGTAGTTCATTAGAAACTTTTAAGTATTATGATTCCTTGTGTTTCTTTTTCCTAGAATGCTCTTCTTCGCTGTATGGAAAATTGTTACTCATTCAAATTTTGGCTCAAAATCTGCCACCATTTCAGAATTAGACAATTGCCAGGGCAAAATTAATGCCACAACCCTGTTTCAGTTTTCACTTACCTCTGTAGATAAGCGCCATGGTGATGACCCTTACTAAAATATCGGAATGTTGACATAGTTACTGGGTAATGTTATCCTATATGTCTCAAGTAGTGAGTTGCTATGAACTAGGTTGTCAGCATATTTGTAGTGAATATGATGATTCATGATGTGCACCTGGTGTCTGGTTAGCGTTCCACATGGCTGGCCACATGGTAGCTGTGACTAGCTCCCTTTAACAAGGTTGACTCTAATGCTCATGTGGACTTTGACATGCAAGCACAGCTGACACACATGCATGCAGTTCTCAATTGGAGAGAAAGGGCATTCCTGTCCTCACTGAAGAGTCTGGACAAGAAAGCCTTCTTTAGCCTTCACCTGTGTATATATTTCTGCTTTCCTTGCATTGTATCCTGTGCTGTAATAAATATTTTTTGTTTTTATTTTTAAAACATTTTCTTTAGCCCAAACCAAAAATGGTCAATAGCGATAATAAATCTTTTTTTTTTTTTTTTTTTTTTTTTTTTTTTTTTTGAGACGGAGTTTTGCTCTTGTTACCCAGGCTGGAGTGCAATGGCACGATCTCGGCTCACCACAACCTCCGTCTCTTGGGTTCAGGCAATTCTCCTGCCTCAGCCTCCTGAGTAGCTGGGATTACAGGCACGCGCCACCATGCCCAGCTAATTTTTTGTAGTTTTAGTAGAGACGGGGTATCACCGTGTTGACCAGGATGGTCTCGATCTCTTGACCTCGTGATCCACCCGCCTCAGCCTCCCAAAGTGCTGGGATCACAGGCGTGAGCCACCGTGCCCGGCCTGATAATAAATCTTAACTGAGAGTATGCTAAGTCATGTGATTACTGCCAGTGAATTACTGAATTAGTGGGTGGTCATGGGAGTACAATCACCATTTTTTATATTCCCACTGCACTTAGTGTACAATCCTTTTACAGAACTACCGTATTGCACTCTACATATTTACTTGTTTAAAAGCATATCTAGACTGTAGGCTACTTAAGGCTTTTTTTTTTTAATTTTCTTAATTTTCCTAATACATTATGTGATACGTAAATATCGGAATAAGAATCATTTCTGAGAGAGAGAAGCATAAAATAGCCAACACGTTTGTTTAAAAAATAAGCACAGTCAATAGTTCTATTCGAGATATTAAAGGAGGGTAGAGAGTAGAGTCAGGGTTGACCAGTAGTGGCCACAGAAATGGTTTTCCCAGGTCTGAGTTCAATCCATGTTATGAAGACTCCACACCCACCTCAAACTGCTACTCATTTTCCAAGATCGAGACTCTCGTCGTTGCAAAAAATTTGCATGGGGATTTAAGGATTCCTAGTCGATCGCCTTAACCACTTGGCAAACAGTGCTTCCTGAATTATGTAACAAAGGATATAAAACTCCATTCCTCCGCTCTTACCCCACCCTTGGCATTCAGTTTATGTCAGCATTTTCCCTGCCTGACAGGTTAATTTACAAGTGTCATAACTGGCTGCAACAGTGGCATGGCCACTTGGCAACAAAAGAAATTTGTTCTATTTAGAGATGAAATATTGGTTAATAACAGTTGGGTGTCCATGAAAATAAACCCTGTACATGCAGAGATCGTAATCAGTTTCACATTATTTTCTAGAAATACTTGTAATTCTGGAATTAAAAAAAAAACTTGAGTTCATTTTTGTTTTCTTATCTTAGTGTTTAAGCTACAAAGTGTAACTTTCAAAAAACGGATCCTCAAGAAAACCTTAGCAGAGGATGGTTTCGATCCATCGACCTCTGGGTTATGGGCCCAGCACGCTTCCGCTGCGCCACTCTGCTATTCCCCAACATGAGGTTTCTCATAATCCCCTTAACTACTTTCAAGCAATGTGCTCACACTATCTCACGATTAAAGAAAGTCTACAGGAAGTTACTTATTTAATACTTTGGCTACCACAGGTTGCCAACTTATTCTGGAAAAAGGCGGCTACCAGAATCAAACAGAAAACAAAATTAGGGATGGAAAAGTAAACATCAATACACTGTGGGCCAGGCGGGGTAGCTCACACCTGTAGTCCCTGCACTTTGGGACACCAAAACCGGCAACATAGTGAGACTGTTTCAATAAAAAAAACAAAAAACAAAGCAAAACAACAACAAAAAACATCCTGAAACCCGCACACTGATGAATTACTGGTTGCTGATGTGAAGGGCAGCTAGCTATTTAAATGGCAATTACAAATTTTAATAAGCAGCAAAAGAAGAGAACAAGCTGGGAATACAATCAGGCCTCTGCGCGGAGGGCGATAATTCTACCACGAATCAATAACCAACCATGTCTTCGCCATCGGGAAGAAAACTCTTTTGGTTATATTTCCCTTGTGGAGAGGATGAAATCTTGCACTTTTCAAACACTTCCGAAGGAGGTTTCTGTCCGCATGTGTTTTACAGCAGGCAGCAGAAATGTCAGTCACTGGGACCTTGGGGACTAAGTTGGATTCCTCAGGCTTCCGGTCGTTTGGACCGAGGCTCCTCTCTAATCGTCCTAAAGCAACTTAAGCAACTAATAATAATAAAAATGTTAATTTCTTTAATCTGGTTTAGTTATTAAAACAGCCTTGAAATTCCTATTTGGGAACCCAGCACTTGCAGGAGGCGCCTCCACAGAGAAGGCGCTCGGATGCCAAAGACGCGAGTCATTGGTGACGTCACATAGGGCTGGGCTATGTAGGGTGGGGCCAAGAGGCAGCCCAAAGTTCCCGTATGAGCGCTTCAGTCCTCAATTAGGTTCGCATTCCCTGCATATAAGGGCGTTGCTTTGCTCCGCGGCCGTTAGGTTTCTGAGGCTGGTGTTCACAGCTGGGTAGTCATGTCTGGTCGTGGTAAAGGAGGAAAAGGTCTAGGTAAGGGAGGCGCCAAGCGTCACCGTAAGGTCCTGCGAGACAACATCCAGGGCATTACCAAGCCAGCCATCCGGCGCCTTGCTCGTCGTGGCGGCGTCAAGCGCATTTCTGGCCTCATCTATGAGGAGACTCGCGGCGTTCTGAAGGTGTTTCTGGAGAACGTGATCCGTGACGCGGTCACTTACACGGAGCACGCTAAGCGCAAGACCGTGACTGCGATGGACGTGGTCTACGCTCTGAAGCGGCAGGGACGCACTCTGTACGGCTTCGGTGGCTGAGGCTTCCTTTTGCTGTGTCCAGTAACTCCGTTTTTCAACCAAAGGCCCTTTTCAGGGCCGCCCACTTTTTCTGTAAAAGAGCGGACATCTTGTGGTACCTGTCCTGTTTTGTTCTAGGTTTTTGTTGAAAAGTAGTCGTTACACACATGTATAGATTACAGGTAACGTTTAACTTTCCTGGTGTTAACGTTTCCTGGTGTTAACGTTTAACATCATAACGCATATTTATGAAGTGTTCAGGGTTATTCTCTTATGCTTTAGGGTAGTCGGTATGTTATAGATGTTTAGCTTTCTTTTACACTTTCTTTTTTTGTGTTTTTTTTCCAACACGGCGCTGCAGGAATCTTACACTTTAGAGCTTAAGATGGCAGCGAGTAAGCTGGATTGGCACGGCTTGTACTCTCCGTGTGGCTTCCCCTTTAAACTTGTTCTCAGGGAGTAGAGAAGTCGCAGTAAACTCCAGGCGAGACTCCGTTACCGTTTTCAAAATGGCGGGGAGGGCGAGGAACAAAGAAAGCCCGCGCCTAGGCGGCGGGCCTAGAAACAAAGGTGAATCCGCCAGCGGAACAGATCCTCGGGTCGGGATCGCAGACCGAAGTCCAGGCGGTATGTACGCTGCTGCTTTTGACGGTGACAACTTTCGTCAACAAAAGGCAGTGTGGGGTAACAATGTAAATGCTCACTGGAGAGCTTGCGAGGAATTTCACTTAAACTGTTTCTAAACGTTATTAAGTCATTAGAAGGTACAGTATCGCTAAGTGATCAATATGGAAACATCACCAAAACTTAATTCTTACGCAGCGATGATAGCCTTTTAAGAAAGTATAGATTCAGGCGAAGGGCGGTGCCTCACACCTGTAATCCCAGCATTCTGGGAGGCCTAGGTGGGCGGATCACCTGTGGTCGGGAGTTCAAGACCAGCGTGACCAACAGGGAGAAACCCCTTCTCAACTAAAAATATGAAAAAGTTAGCCAGTCGTGGGTGGTGCATGCCTGTACTCCCAGCTACTCGGGAGGCTGAAGTAAGAAAATCGCTTGAACCTGGGAGGTGCAGGCTGAAGTAAGAAAGTCGCTTGAACCTGGGAGGTCAGCCGAGATCTCGCTGTTGCACTCCGGCCTGGCCTGAGTAACAAGAGCGAAACTGCCTCTTAAAAAAAAAAAAGGCGTACATTCAGACATCAGGACAATGATTTGCCAGAGACCAAGCCTGTAGATTTGGAATGGCTTTTCTAATGGGATCATTTTACTTGGCTTCTATACTCTGCCCTGTAAGTAGAAGTTACTTTTTATACACTTAATTGAAATCAGGTTAATACGCTTGTGAGGAACAGTTTATATGTACATAATGTTACAGCACATCAGAGACATGTCTGGTTATCTACGGTGAATATAATGGGACAATTGCTGGTTTAGGAAGATAGTTTCATTGTAAAATCAGATTTTTCCTCCTTGTGTTCAGCAAGCAAATTGTAGGATTATAACTGAAATCAGGAGAATGAATGGAGTTACTTTGTGTCTCATCTTTTTAAAAATCAATGGATTTGTGCATTAATATGAAAAGAACCATGTTATCGGAGCTAAGGCGCTGGTTTGTACTTAGATAAAAATTTAACAACAAAATAATTGAGCACGTATGCCAGGTACTCTTCACTGCTCTGAGAATTATAGAAGTGAATGACGGTGAACAAAACAGTATTTCTGTATTTAGGGAGTCCATTGGGTATGCATTCACACACAAAGTAAGTGAAATTGTATCGGATGGTGCTAAGAGCTATCACTGAAATAGGCCTAAAGATGTATGGAAGGAGGAGATGATGCTTATTTTTTGAGATAGGGTCTTTCTCTGTTGCCCAGGCTGGAGTGCAGTGGCAACCACTCCACCTCCACCTTGCTTGGGTTCAAGCAATTTTCATGCTTCAGCCTCCCAAGTAGCTGGGATTACAAGATTGTGCCACCAGGCCCAGCTAACTTTTGTATTTTTAGTATAGATGAGGTTAGGCTGGTCCTGAACTCCTGGCCTCATGTGATAACACCTGTGTCAGCCTCCCAAAGTGCTGGGATTACAGGCATGAACCATTGTGCCCAGCTGAGAAGGTGGTTTTTTTTTTTTTTTTTCGTTAAAAGTAATGCAAGAGCCGTAATTAGAGAAGGTGGTATTTTAAATGATACGGTCATAGAAAGCTTTACTGATAAAGGGATGATTGGAGAAAAGAAGACATTGAGAGAATATTCCCAATAGAAGACCAAGTAGGAAAGCCTGGAGATAGCAGAGTCATTGTGGCTGGGCAGGAGTGCAGAGGAAAGGAGATGAGGTCTGAAAGGCAAATGGAGGCGGAGCAGTTCCTGTATGGCCCTGTAGGCCAGTGTAACTACTTCGGCTTTTATTTCTAGTGAGGTGGGAGCCACTTAGAGTTTTGAGCAGAGGACAGACATGATCTGATTTATATTTTAAAATGAGCTGCCTAGATGCCTGATGAAGAGTAAATGTGATGGAGTCTGGGTAGGAGGAGCACAGAGACCAGTTAGAAGGGTACTAAAAGCAGTTGAGATGGCAGTGGCTTGGACTTGTGTATTAGTGGTAGAGGCTGTGAAGAGCGGTTGGATTCTTAAAATATTGTGAAAGAAGCTTGATAGTTTTTTTCTGAGCTACTGAAGGTGTAGCATATGAGAGAAAGAAAATTTATGCATGATTACAATGATTTTATTGACAGCAGTTGAAATGGAGGTGTCAGTTGCTAAAATGGGGAAGAATACTGAACGACCAAGTTTTGGAAGTAATTCCACATCTTACTTTTGGAAATCCAGAGAGTTTGTGAGATGCTTATTACACATATTTAAGAGGAGGATATGAAGTAAGCAGTTTGATTTGTAAACCTGGAGTTCAGAAAAGAGGTCTGGGTGGGAAACATAATAATAGAGAGTTGTCAGAGTATGACTCCCATGACAGTAAAAAAGCCACAAGGTGAAATGACATCTCTTAGGAAAAGAGGGTTGAGAATGAAGAGAAGCAGTGTAAGGGAGCTCTGGGTTAGAGAAGAAATGTTTGTTTTGTACTTAAGACATCTGGATTCCTAACTTAAAGTGTGACGAGTGCTTTCTTTAGTAATTCTCTGTTTCTGTAATTTTCAAAACAAACAAGAATTTTCCCTATTTTGCAAATAGGGGAAAATGCCCTCGGTAATCAGAGTGTGCAATAATATTGCAATTCTCATTCAAATAGCCTATTAAAAGTTAGAGCCATGAAGAGATCACTTTGGAGATCCAGTGATAGTCACACCTTTTTCTAAATGTGCCCATTCTTCCCACATATTTTGCTTGCAATTCTAGCAGTTCTTAGGCCTCCTGTAGCCTGTTTGTGGAACTCAGCTTCATAGCTCTATGTTTGATTCGTTTATTCTTCCCTTAGCTCTGTGGCTCCTGATGGATCTAAAAAGATGGACATGGAGAATGAAAATCTGTCTGATGCTTTTGAACTGATGTTTATTGCTGTGGAGATGCTGCCTATATGGTAATGTTGTGGATGTTATGTCACCAGCCCACAGCATCGTCCTCCACACTTGACATCTCAACTTGAAAGTCCAGTTAATATGTACTTCCAACTCAAATAGGCTTCAAACAGTATTTATTTCATTGTTGCTGCAATACGGTACCTCCCATCATCTTGAAATTAGTGAATGGCATTTTACTCTTTTAGTTGGAGTGATTTCTGTCTTTTTCTTTCCCATCCTACATAACAATCCATCAGTAAGTTCTATGAGGTCTTCTTGAAAACATAAACAGAATCGAACTGTTTCACATTCCCACTTCTGCTCTGGTCAAGCCACTGCCAACGCTCACCTTCATTGTTGTAGCACCTCATTGCCTACCTCTGTCCCAAAGATTTCCAATAAAGGGTGAATGAAATCAGGTCACTCTTCTGCTGAAAACCTTCCAATGGCCCTCATTTCACTAAAAGGAAAACCCAAAGTCCCTTCAAAACCTTGCAAGACCCCACTCTCTGGCTCTTGTTACCTCTTTGGCCTCAAATCTCACTACTCTTTTCCTTCCTCATCCAGCTCTGCTAGCCTCTCGAACTTGCTGGAAGTATGCATCTCTTTCAGGCACTATATATATACTGACAGTTCCCTTTGTGTGGGCAACTCAGCTTCCAGATCTAAGTGTTGCTCCCTTGCTTCCTTCAGGTATATATTCAAATAACATGCTCTGTATGAAGCTGGTTGTGACCACACTGGCATTACAACCCCGCTCCCTCCCCCACAGCCTTCCCACTGTATTTTTCCCTGCTCCTAAGAACCCTGCAGTCTATTTGGAGAGTGAAACATAGGCTTATGGAAAGGAAAGCTGGAATGGAATATTAAATGGAATGTCAGAGTAGTGTAATTCAAGTCAGTATTGGAAGTGATAGTTCCTGGCTTGGGGCCAGGTTTTGGAGGCTTGTCAGGCCTATGACAGGAATGTGGACTTTATTCTGGACAACAGGGAATGAAACAGGGATACAAAATCCCCCTTCCCTACTTTGGTTCAATTATGTCACAATTGTAGCCTCTTTGACAAAACCAGTTCTTGCACCAAGCATGTTAGACTCAAATTATGTGTTTCTCTTAAGTGCCTAGGTGAATATAAATAAAATGAATATAAATCTGATTTGCAGTAGATAAAACGAGATTCCTTAGTGTACATGTTATGTATGTCCTTTTCCTGGCAGAAAAGGAAAATATTTCAAGAAGGATCCTTTACACAGCAAGTCTTGTATATTAGCAGTGTTTTTTGTAAAGTGCCTGGTCTTTTGAGCATCTAGACTTTCAGAGTATAAGGGGAGATTGCCTTTTTTTATAACCAAATTTCTAATACAAGCAATATTTATGGAGGTTCTGTATTTTTATGGAAGGTGAGATGACTTTTCCATGACTACATTTGTGCAATATTATTTGCTTTAACATTTGCAGTTCTAGATACATATAAAATAATTTGTAATTCTAGATACACAAAAGAATGTGAGGCTGGGTGCCGTGGCTCACACCTGTAATCTTAGCACTCTGGGAAGCCAAGGTGGGCGGATCACCTGAG